TGGGAACAACCTTACCTGCACCCCTCAAGCCTGAGCACGGAGGGCGAGAGAACCAGGGAGAGAAGCGACAACAGTTAGGAGCCGAACCTGCCTCCTCCTGGGGCGACCGGCTGGAGAAGGACAGGGTTTGTATTGTCCCCTGGGGCTCACGCTGCCCTACAGTCCCAGATACCCTGCTCGCACCTTTGCTGTCACCGAGGACAGCCTCCTCCAGCTCGGGATGTGACTCCTACTCGAGACACTCACCGAACGGCATGCTGTGCCCTGCTCCCCTCGCAGCGCACACTGAGAACGGAGCTGGCAGAGCCGCAGCAAGGTGTTGCGGGTGCCAAGCTGCCATGCCAGGCCTGACCCTAGCCTCAAGCCCACCGAAACAAAAAAGCAGGGAGAAGGCGGGGACTGAGGCTGAGGGAACACCACAGCCCAGAGGCTGGGTGATGGGCCTAGACCCTACAGCCTGTTCCAAGCCCCAGTCCTGTGACCAGCCCCCTCTGCTCTCCCCCACGGTGTGGCATTTTCTCCTCCTCAAGCCCAGTTAAACAGGACTAGGACAGCATGAGAACAAAGGGATATTGCTGGGGCTGCTACAGCCCTCGGCAGGACAGCCAGGCTGCCCCCTCCCCTCCCCATCACATTCCCCACTCACCCAAGGAGCCTTTGGGACACAGGACCGCAGCCGAGAACCCAAACTTGGTCTGGGGCCACCACACACCCGCCTTCAGGCTTTTGGGGCAGCCATCATAGAGCACTGTGGAGACACGCACCCCGAGGGGCCAGTCACAAGGGGAAGTCACTGACAACAAGCCTCATGGCACCAGCTCCCCACTGTGCTCACACTCACCCTCGCAGCCGCTGGGCGTCACCTCGGCAAAAGGGCTGTCGCAGCTATTGCACTGGCGCCCGATGACCCCGGGCCGGCAGTGGCACCGGCCTGTCTCCTTGTCGCAGGAGCGCGAGGTGGAGCCCACAGGGTAGCAGTCGCAAGGCAGGCAGGTGTCGCTGCCTTTGGGGCGGTAATGGAAGTCCTGGAGGGACACAGGGACAGCCGTCAGACAGCCCATCAGGACGGCAGCTGAGGCCACTGCCAGGGAACTGATGGAGCTGGGCAGAGAAGGGCCAGGCTCTCCCAATTTGCAAGCACCCCCACTGCCCCCATTGTCATCGTGCTGGGGCAGGAGGGCTGCACAGAAGAGCTGAGCAGAGATCCAGCCCAGAAGCGGGCACACAAAGCAGGGCCTGGTGAGCTGCCAGGCCTTTGGAGGGGACAAGCAGGGCTCTAGACAAGCCATGGGCCACATCCCCATGGGCACAGCTGCCCCTCACCTTGCAGTGGCACTGCCCGTTGGTTTTATTGCAGTCGGGGTCAAAGCCCTTGTTCACATCACAGTTACAGGGCCCGCAGGTCGGGTTCCCCCACCAGCCCTTCGGACACTGCTGGTCCATCCTGGGGAGAAATATCTTTCCTGTTACAACAACAAGCTCTGCAGCTCCAAGGAGCCAAGTGGCACTGAGAGGTCCCTGGTCACATAGCCAGGATAAGAGGGCAGCACAGAGCCAGGCACGGAGGCTATGGCCCTGGCCTGTGCTCCACATCTCACCTATGCTCACAGTACTGCCCGAAAAAGTTCCCTCCGCACTCGCACACGTAGCCCAGGGGTGAGCCTGGCTTGCGGCGACACACCGACTTGTTCTTGCAGGGGTTCAGGTGACACACATCCACACAGTCCTCTCCGTAGTAGCCTGAGGTGTAGACAGAGACCACCATGTAAAGCAAGTACCTTCCCCGAGAGGGGCCAGAGCACCAAGGAGTGGATTCGGGGGCTCAGGAGGGATTTTGCTCCCCACAAAAACTAATGAGTGTCTGGTGGGCATTTCTGGGCCCAGGACGTGCCCAAGGGATTGGCAAGAGAGCAGTCACAGGCTAGGAGGGAGCCACAGGGGCAGAGGAGAAGACAGACAGGCACAGAGAGCAAAGGGATTGCAGGGCTCTGCAGGCCCTACCTGGCTGGCAGACGCAGGAGTAGCTCTGCCACTCGTCCTTGCAGATGCTGTTGGCCGGGCAGGGGCTGGAGTTGCAGGGGCTCGGCACGCTGCAGCCAGCCTCCACCCGCAGGGCATGGCTGGGCTTGGGCAGCACAGTCCCAGTGATGCTGTCACCCAGTCGCACACCCTGCAATGCAGGCAACAAATTCACGGTGAAGCCAGGACAGACGCACAAGGCTCCAGTCCTCCTGCCCTCCACAAACCCCCAGGAGCAGCCACTCCCCACCACCCCTGCTCATTGATTTATGACTGTCCCACACCACCTCAGAGCCTTGAATGGTCAGAAGGAGAGTGTCACCAGCAGGATGGACACTGGCAGCAGCTACCAGGGCTGTGTTTCCACCCCTCCATGTATAAAATCTGCTGGAAAGGGAAGGCTCAGAGCAATGGACTCACCTGTATGCAGCCCCTCAGCCCGTTCTGCACCTCGCCAGAGCCCAGGACTCCCCCCACGTGCAGGTGTTTCACCTTCAGGCCATGCAGTTCATTTCCGACAACCACTGTGTCCTGCAGAAGGGGAGTAACATGGGGCAACTGGCATCAGCCCTGTCCCAGCCCTCGCTGAGGGTGCGGAGGCCCAGCCTGGCCCATGTATGCCAAACATCCCCCACAGTTCCTGTCCTGGTGCCAGTGCCTCAAGCAGAATATACCTGGTAGACCCCAAAGTCCAGGGTGAGGGTGATGACGTAGCGTGAGTCTCGCCCACTGCGGACATCCCGCAGCTCCAGTTGGAGGTCATGCCATCTCCCGTCGCTGAGCCGCAGCTGGTCCAGGAGAAGGCTGGTGCTGCGCCCGGACCCCCTGCTCACCATGAAGGAGAGCAGGCCCCCAGCCAGCTGCAAAGAGGAAACCAGCAACAGCAGCAGTGAGCGAAGGCCTCACAAACTCTGGCTGCCTCCAGCCTACCCTCCCTCTGAGCTCTGAGCATGGGGAGCAAAACCCAGCCGTGCTAAACACCTCTCCCCACAACCACCCTCCGCTTGGCCTAGAGCCAACGAGGAGGGCAGGGTCCTCCGGCTCCCCTGGGGTGAATGGCAGCAGAGGCTGGGGCGCAGTGCTGCGGCTGAGGCCGTGGCCCTACCTGGCAGAGCAGGGTGGTGTACTGGCCGGCATGGGCCTGCAGAAGCACCCCGTCTGGCTGGCGTGTCCGAAACGCCAGCCCCAGGTACCATGGCACAGAGATCTTCACGTCTGTCTTGAAGTCCCAGGTCAGGACACTGTTGCCCTGGAAATAGTGGGCATGGTGCATGGCTGGAAAGGAAAGTGGAGGTGAGGAGACGGGATGGGCACTACACAGGGGGCACTAGAGACAGGGACAACAGAGCTAGTTCATCGCACACAGACCCCCTACCCTGCTTCCACAGCAAACCCAGCACAACCCTGCCCATATACCCACCCTGCCCATGCCCAGCAGCGCCCGCTCACTCACGGTGGCGGCAGTCTTTGCCCCCAAAGCCAACAGGACAGACGCAGGAGTAAGTCCCCCAGCTGACAGAGCAGGTGCCACCATTCTTGCAGGGGCTGGAGTCACAGAACGTGTGCTTGGCATGGCAGCCTGGAGGTATCAAAGTCACTCGCATCAGCTTTGACCTGCTCACCACCTCCCTCCAACCCACGCAGGGAGACACCATTGCTCCCCAGCCCTTTCCTTGGCTGCCGGATGGCAGCAGACCATGCCTGCTCAGGAATGAGGGTCAAGGCTGTCACTGCTCCTTATGCCAGAAGAAAGACCCTGTGGAGCTGGATCGACTACCTAGCATCTCCCAGACAGGCCAGCTCTGCAGGCTCTGCACTTGGGATCAGGGGACATTCCCAGAACGTTAGCTGGGGTGGGGAGTGGCTCATTTAGGGGGATCTGGAGGCCCCATTCTCCGATGGGAAGCTGCTCAGTTCCAGCTGTGATGCCATGACGCTGTTACAGCCTGGCAGTGCTGCTGTGTGAGCAGGAAAGGCAATTCCCAGGGCAGGGGCTGGCAGGAGCAGAGGCACTGGTACCTGCAGCAGTTCCGTTGTTGGCAATGTAGGAGGCCAGGTCAATGCGTTTGCTGTCAATGTATAGGTCTCTCATGCATCCCACAAAGTCCCGGTGAGTGACAGGGAAGTTTTCCGGCAGGTTGGGGACCCCTCCGAGGAGCAATGGACCTGTGAGGTCCAGGGACCTACAAGACAGAAATTCAGGGTTTTAAAAGCCACAGCGACCTCAGGCCAGCCAGCTGGCTCCCCAGAGCTGGCAAGCAGACATCCCTGGGGACTGGCACACACCGCCCCGGCCCCTGGAACTACAGCTGTCCCAGATGTGAAGGGCTGGCTCTGCAGAGGACCCAGGTGCCCTGCTCTTCTACCAACACAGTCCCTGAGGAACTCACTTCTTTGAGCTGGTCTGCACACCCTCTGCGGCACAGGAGTAGTTCCCAATTTCACTGCCAAACTGCAGGGCCACTGAGGCATCACATTTGTCCACTGTCAAGACGGCCACCTTGTCCTTGGAGGGGCCCTGCACCACCCCCACGGCGCTGACTTTGGGCTGAAACCAAACACAGGGCGTTAGCAGCACACATGCCCCCAGACCCAGGCACCCAAGGGCTTCACAACAGCAAGGAAAGGGCCCTGAGCACGGCCCAGGCACCACTGTGCTGCTGGAGCGTGAGGAAAGCAGGAGGGACATCTCTGGCTGAGCCCAGCAAACAGCGTCAGACACAGATACTGGTGAGGATGCCGCGTGGAGCGCATTCCTGTCACCTCCAAGTGCGGTACTGAGGGTGAATCTCCCCCTGCACCCAGCTGTCTGTTCCACTGCACCTATCCCCGAGGGCAGAAAACCACCTCTACCTTCTCTCCACAGCCTCCCCTATGGGGCAGAGACGGAGAACAAGACAGCCAGAGCTGCTCACTCGCACCTCATGGGGAGACCCACCCACACGTGTTGGGGACAGCTGGGGCACACATACCTTGTTGTAGTAGCGGAGCTGCAGCGTGTGCCACTGCCCATCACTCACACCCCCTGGCAGGTAGGGGCTCACCACTGTGCTGGACTCTCCTGTGGAGACAGGGATGATGGCACACTGAGGAAAGCCAGGCAGCCCTTGGACTCACCCACCCCTCCTGCAGGCACCAAACCCTCCGCGTTGCCGACGGCCTTGCGCAGGGATGGAGAACGGCTTCAGAGATATTAGCTCAGCATGCTGGTCCCTGCCTGCTGCAGCCTTGCAGTGGAGGGAAGCCCCAGTTATTAACATGAGGGCCCAGTGCTCCTGGCAGCTGATCCTGACATCCCTCGGGGCAGGCAGGATGGGCACAGCAATGGCATGAGGCAGCAGGGACAAGACTGACAGGATAGCAAACACCCTCCCAAGAGGCTCCTCCTCTCCAGATTGTCTCACAGCAAGGCAGGAGATGAAGCATCGGATGACATAATGGGACAGAATGGCAGGGTAGACCTCAGAAGGGTTTGTCCTGGTTTGTGCTCACATACTGCCCCCCTACTGCACTTGCACTCCTAAGCCTAAGGAGGGTCCTGAGACACACACCCGTCCTCTTTGCCATCCACTGATGCTCACCAACACCTGTTTCAACCCCGCTTCCCTTAGCGCAGGCTCTATCCAGGGCAGCACCCTGCTCTCCCCACTCAGCACGGGCTTTCTCACAGCTCCCACGGCACAAATCCCACAAGAGGCAGGGCTGAACCTACCTGTGGAGTATTTCAGCTGGACCTGCCCCTGGATGATCTCCACTGCCAGGAAGTCGTGCCTCTCGTTCAGGCGCCCGTTGTAGAGCAGGAGGCCACTGGGTTCCACAGTGCTGAACCTGGGGAAAGGGAGGAAGCAGGAGGGCAGGGTGTGTGCAAGGAGCACACGGAGATCCTCACTCTCCCATGGCATGGCACCAGTATCCTGGCACGGGGACAGGGTGAGACCCGAGCCTGGCCCCAGGTGCAAACCCAGCTGAGAAGGGGAGTTTGATCCAGGAGATGCTTTGGGAGCACAGGAGGGCCTGGCACGAAGGCAGAGAGCTGGCAGCAGGGAAGGGAAGAGGCACTGAAGGAAGGGATGAGCTGATGCCAGGGGAGACATGCCAGTGCAGATGCAGAGCCCTTTGGCTAAAGGTGCCAGGGCAGCCCCGTGGTGAGGCAAAGCCAGTAACGCAGGGGTCTAGAGACCACCAGCAAGTCCCTGGACAGGCCCAGGGTGCACAAGAGCCACCAGAGTGGGACTGGGCAAGCTGGCGGGTGCCGGTGTCCAGCAGAGGAGGGAGAGGACTCACGAGAGGGCGAGGGTGAGATGGAAGCGTTGGCGCAGGCCCCGGAACATGACGAAGGATCGCGGTGGGAAGGAGCGTGTGGACACCTCGCAGAAGGGCGTCTCGAAGCCACCTGCCGGGCACTGGCAGCGGAAGCCCCCGTCGGCGCCGTTGGTGCAGGTG